TATTTTGCAGTAATATTGTGAAAAGTTATTTAAATAACTGTTTTAATATATATTTTAAAATGTAATTTTTTTTCTGTCTGTGTGACTACTAATTAAAATGTATGTATCATTGGTTGAACCTTGCAACTACTTAGGCCAAAGGAAATCACAGTTTGACTGTCACATCTGACAGTCGATTATGCCAAAGACATTTTTAAAATGAACGATTTAAGTTATGAATGTTGAATTCGGCTAAAGTGCATTCTTGAGTCTTTTTGTGCAGTTCACTCATTGACCACCGGACCCAGTTGCATAAACACATCCACCGTGTTAAGACTGTATCTTAACAACTAGTTTGACCAACTATCAGTCCTTACTTTTTTGAATTCAAATTTGACTAATTGACTAGTTTTTATATAACTGACTTGGAAAAGTTGTGACCAGTCTTAAAGAAAAAAATTAGATGACTAGTCTAAGCAGTTTATATAACAGGCCACCAATACCAGTACAAGTGTGCGTGCATTTGGTAGAAGGTTTTGAAATGCTATTCCAGGTTTGTTTTTTGTAAATCCAAAAAAAGTTCAAACTGCCAATTGAAATAATTGATCTACACTTCATTGCATGTGCAGGTTAACCTAAATAGCTTGGGCCCTTGTCATGCGGAAAAAAACTTCAGTGTTCATTAATCTTTTTAAAAGAGAAATGTATCCCCTGGCAAATAGGAGCGAGTTGTCGAATCCCAGGGATCCCTTCTGTGTGGCCAGCTGTTATGGTTACAGTAGTTGAAAACCAAGCAACACTTACCAAGATATCCTCAAGCCATGTCAAAAATCTTAAAGTAACCAGTCATTTGGAACACTGCAAGGGAAATAAAGTAATTTAAAGTCTAACTTGCACTCTGTAATGAATGAATTACAAAGAGAAACTCTGAAACAAAAGACTGTATCTTTAATATTTCATACTAAACAGCAAGTTAAATCGGAAGCTTGCATAAAAACACTTTGTGTTAACATTTGCACAATGTTTCTCTTTGCTTATTTGCACTGAATGTTACCCAGGACTGTAGCGTGCGGCTTTTGTAATTATGGCATAATAATGGAGGCAGATCTGTAATTAAATCTCATTGATCTGGCTTAAATGCATTCTCTTCCTCCTAAATGCACTGCTTTCGACCCTCCTCTCATTCCCATGTGCATTATGCACATACCGCCATTGTAGCTACAACCAGATTTACTTGTCCCACAATGTAAAACGACACAGTTGGGGGCCTTTCATTGTGTCAGTGTCCCTATAAAATTACCCGTTTGCCTACGGCTCGAGCTGGTTAGACACTCCTCTTAGAAGAACGCAGACGGCTGCTGTGGTATACTCGGGTCATCTGCAGTGGAAAAGTAAAGCCGATTCACCCCGTCCCAGCTCTTGTGACTGAGGATGACAGCTGGTTATCAGGAGCACACTGGCCTAAATCCAGCCACTTACACCAACAACAAGCATGCACTGCATTTGTAGAAAAATTATAGTTTGAATATTCATTTATGATTAACTGCATTGGTGAGATTTTCACAAAAAGCTTTCCTAATCTGAAAACCACCACACATATTCTTGGTAATCCATATTTTAGCTGGTGTGTCAGAGCACTCAGTGCTACATCCATGAATATGTCAGCCTAACCATTGCACACAGCATAGGCTACTTCTATAATACTTACTACTTACTACAGACCAACTTTTTGTGACTAAGTTCTCGTGTGTATTTTTTCCACAGTCTCCTCAGTGTATTCTCACCATCACTTATTAGTGGTGTTTGCTAAGGCTCATACTAGTAGGATAATGCTAAAAACCGGAAGTGTTTTAAAGTGTCTTGTAAAGCTGTTAAAATTCTCTGCTTCTAAACTTTCTCAATATGCAAATACATGCTTATTTTACAAGTTTGTTTTTGTATATATATGCACAAGCACACACACATTCACATACATCATTACATTATATATGCATATATATATATATATATATATATATATATATATATATATATATGTGTGTGTGTGTGTGTGTAGTAATATATTTAAGAATTTTTTTTGTCTTTTCAGTATGTAGTGACTAGTATGCAGTGTTCAATATTTGCCCTCATAACACTTGCTAGTCCAGGTTGTTTGGACTAAACTCTATTTTCTGTGTTAACAGGGTGTGGTAGAGGCTAAACAGGTTAATGCTTTTAAAACCATCAGCGGAGATATATAGTAGGGTGAAGAAAGTGCCAAGAGATTAAAGAGCCAGAGATATTGACAGAGAAGAAAGAGCAACACAGACAGCTTAAAAAACAACTGACACTTATGATTGGAAATATGCTTTTGGGATTAGTTCAACCAAAAATGAAAGTTCTGTTGTACTTTTGGAACACAAAAAAGTCATTTTCAGTGGTGTACTGGTCGTTCTTTATCAAGCTTCAATTTTTTTCACAAATTGCACAAGTAGTTATGTCATGAACATGTCAAGGAGATCTAGATCAGATTCAGAGAATACTGTTTAAATTTTGCTTTGTTCTCAAATCTAAGACTTTGTGTCTTATGGATGACTTTTACGAAACATGATTTTTAAAAAAAAAGTAATTTAATTTATAATTTTTATTTATTTATTTATTGCCATTTTGGAGCTTGAACGTTTTGGCATTATATTGAAAATAGTGGACATTAATCAAATATCCAAGAAAACCATACAGGTTTGGACCAACATGAGTAAATAATGACAGTTTTCATTGTGGGTGAACAATCCCGTTAAACACTGAATGGGAACCCAACAGAAGCGCCTTCTGTTAGTGTTTAGCTTTATCTACATTTTTATGAAGAGGAATAAAAGCACCTCTGTTCCTTCACTCTCTGCTAGCCAGCTCAATGTGTGGAGCTTATTATGTAGTCTCATAAACCCACATACACACATTTTCGAAAGAGAAACACTGTTTCATACTTGCACACATATGCCGAGACTCATTTATGAAATGCACATGTTGGCCTGTGACCAGAGCTTGTCACAGTGCATTTCAGACAGACTTTCCATGAACGTCTACATACACGCACATAGGCAAACATACAGAGAGCACCACAACGCCCGCACACACTCTTTCATTGAAAAGAATATGTGCATCTGATCAGTGTTCGAACTATACCGTGGACTTTGGGGGAGCCCACTTGTATTTTTTTTATAAGGGGGGGGGGGGGGGGGGGGGGCGG